CCTCTGCAATTATTCAATCCACCCACTTCCTGTGAGCCTAGGCAGTCATGGACACACCCCCTGCACATTACCACATTGGTCTGGAATCTCTACAGTAGTGAACAGAGTGGCATTGACACCCCATCAGCCCTGCTCACTTCAGTATTGGGTATCATTGCTGCAGAGAAGACTCAGGGGAAAGTCTGTATAAAGTGAATGGGTACAGCTCTGTTTTAACGCTTTGTAAAGTTCCTGTTCACTTTACACCCTGTCTATGGATGGCACATATTACATTACCCCTGGCTGGTATATTTCATTCCTCCTGATTCAATAAACATAAGTCCGATACATTTGTGTGACCATCGCACTTCTAAAAGTGCAGAGCAGCTGCATAAGTTATATGGTTCAGGATCTGAGAGAAAAGGCTTGTCCTTTGTCTTAGTCTTGGCTTTGTCACAATAGGAAAAAGGTTCCTTTCTGCTCATATATCCCGTGTGTGAATGAATCATTCATGAGGTTTGCAATTACAATGCTTACTGAAGCCAGCATGTCAGATACAAAGATACCTAGGTTAGTGTTGCATACGATCAAATTACATATTCTTGTAGAGTAAAATGCAAGTGGATTTCTTTGCAGCAGGAATGCTGTTTAGGTTTCCTTCTATGGCAGGCTCTAGCAACGTAAAATACATACAATCACCATGTATAAATGAATGTTAGATGACCCACGGCACTGGTGCTTATGTCTACAATTGTGGGAGCAGTCATCGTCTGTACTAGAACTTTGTTTAGTTCATCACGATTACCATTTTGCAAAGAAAAGAGTCCTCATGCACACTGGACATTTTTACAGCGGCTGTTTTTTGGCTTTTGACATTTTTTTTCTACAGCTAGTAAACCCCCCAGCATATTATCCTATGTGTCCATGCACACACAGACTGTAATCAACGGTTTTTGGCAGGGATGCTTTTTGGCTGAAAAAAAAAAAAAAACAGGACTAGTGGGTTTCTAGAGGAGTTTTTTTAGCTGTAAAAATTCGGTTTTTGGATGGGTTTTTTTTTTAAACCAAAAAATCCCAGCAAAAAAACTGCAAATGCTGCTAAATGTGGGAAACCGCCGCTACAGAGAAAAAATGCTTTTTTTTGGCTATGCAAAAATGCTACAGAAAATCACGTTTTTAACGTGACTTTACACATCTTCTGTTACCAACATTATCAGAGCGTCCAGTGTGCATGAGGATTTAGGATTAGCTAAGTTTAGTTTAAATCGGATCTTCAGTCTCTGGTTAAAAAATACATCCGCAGCTACAAAAACTGTAGCTGCTGACTTTTAAAAAAAAAAAAAAAAAAAAAAAAAAAAAAAAAACAGCCACTCACCTGTCCTAAAATCCAGCGGTGTGCTCACTACAGCTGGGTTCCCTTGTCGTTCTATGTCCCAGGTGTCCACTGCGCATGGGCGAATGGCACTGCACATTGTGAATGGTCCTACAGTCCTCTGGGACCTGTCACATGTCCCAGAAGACTGTGGGGAGGGGGATGAGAACTTTCGCTTCTGATCGTCTAGGCCAGTGGTTCTCAACCTTCCTAATGCCGCGACCCTTTAATACAGTTTCTCATGTTGTGGTGACCCCCAACCATAAAATTATTTTCGTTGCTACTTCATAACTGTAATTTTGCAGTGGGAGGAGTAGTGCCACATCATTGGTGTCAGTGAGAGGAGTAGTGCTACATCACTGATGTCAGTGGGAGGAATAGTGTCCCATCGTTGGTATCAGTGGGAGGAATAGTGCCACATTGTTGGTGTCAGTAGGGGTGGGGGGGAATTGTGCCCCATCATTGGTGTCGGGGGGGTAGTGCCCCATCGTTGGCGTCAGTGGGGGGAGGAATAGTGCCCCATCGTTGGTGTCAGTGGGGGGAGGAACAGTTCCCCATCATTGGTGTCAGTGGGGGGGGGGGGGAGGAAATAGTGCCCCATCATTGGTGTCAGTGGGAGGAATAGTGCCCCATCATTGGTATTAGTGACACCAATGATGGGGCACTATTCCTCCTACTGACACCAATGATACTTACCTTGCTGACTCCTGCTCCAGCATGGGCTCGCTCCCTCCCTCTCCCATCTACAGCCAGCATACCTGGCTTCAGCAGCACCATCTGCACGCTACAGACACCTGTCAGCTGTCTTCCTTCTCCGGCCGCTCCCTTGCTCGATCTTCTTTGATCTTCACGCTGCTGCTCGGCTCCTCATCAACGGTGATTGGCCACCTGTGTGCCTCTCCTGAGCTACAGTTCCGGCGGCCAATCACTGGCGAGGAGGCGGAGCTGTTGAGTGATCCCAGGGATGTGGCCAGATGACAGGGGCGGCATGTCATCCCGCACACACGTCGCGTCCAGGGAAATGTGGACGTATCTGCATGTGGGCGGCTGAAAACTGATAGAGAAGCAGTGTCTCGGTTCCTAAGACCATCGGAAATGTGTTTTTCCGATGGTCTTAGGAGACCCCTGTGAAAGGGTTTTTTGACACCCAAAGGGGTCGCGACCCACAGGTTGAGAACCGCTGGTCTAGGCGATTGCAGCAGAAGTGGGAGTTGGTACCTGTCAAAATCAGGTACCCGCTCCCCAAAGGTGCCAAACCTTAACGGGGAGCTGGGGATGAGGCCTTAAAGTGGAGCTCCACTTAATGTTGCACATCTGCTACAGATCAGATTTGGTTATATATACTGTATGTACGTCTCTGAACTGACGATTTTTTTCTCGCAAAGAACCCTTTCTATCCTTGTATTTTTCAAATTGTTTGTTAGCCATTGTATATTAACACATTGTAATTGTTGAAGCATTGCTGTGAATTTGTATGCAGTTTAATTTTTTTTATGCTTTTTTATTGCACACACAAACTACTGAGACATTAAAGTGGTGGTAAACTCAAAAGCAAATATTTACTATATTGCAGCTTACCAATTTATATGTGATAGCTGCCTTACTTTAGGCTTGTTTTGCTTTTTCACGTGGTGATCTAGCCAGTTAGTCTGTTTTTCAACAAAACAAGGTCTCTTGCAGATGTATCAGTTACAGGGGTGCTTACAATGATCAGATTCTATTTATTTATGTAAAACCTTTATCTCCAAAGGATAAATATTTTTTTTCTTTACAAATATTAGCTTTAGTTTGGCATTAATTTTTTTAGTGTATTTAAATCTGCTTGTACATTAAACATCCTCCCCCAACCCACCCCAGACTGATAATGTTGTTGTCCAAAGTTGCCCCATGTGTGCATTCATCTAGAGTGGAGGTGCTCTAATACAGGAGGTTACTGGCCAGACCACCAGGTGATAGAGGGGGGAAAAGCCTAAGAAGAGAGAAATTATGCAGCCATCACATCTAAAGATTGCCTATTACATTTATTGGTTTTTGAGTGTGATACTGTGTAAAAATACATCTATAGCCAAAAGATTTTCTTAATCATTCAAGACGCAGGATTGCTAGTTGTAACCATGGGTTATAGACTGCTACCTTCAGCTAATGCAACACTGGCAAAAACTGCAGGGACATCCCTTCTATAGCCCCTTTCACTCCCAGCTAGCCTCAGTTTTGCTAGTGTCCTTGAGTGATTTACATTCTTGTTCCTGAGTAAACTTACTACCCCTCACCCTTTTTTTACTTGGTATTTGTTTAGTAAAATTCTTCGCTGTAGCTGCTCCATAGTCACTGCAGCTTTCATGTGCAGTTTTCTGGATCAGTTGACTGTTTGGCTGAGCCTTGAGGGACTCTACTCAGATCCCACTTAGAAGATGCATGGCTTATCTGTAATGTTGCTTTGGGCACTGGATCCTGCATGGTTGCTCACTTTGGCATTACATGTATTGCATTGAGATAGTCACAAGGTGCTGTACAGGATCAGAGTTGTGGTCCATCAGAGAGGCTTCCACCTGCTGAAGACCCATTTGGGGGTATCCTCTTCCAGGAGTACAAAGACTCCTCATCACAAGTGAGCTACTTCAGCCACTCCTCAGCAATGTGCATGAGAGCTTCGGCTGTCCTGGGTCTCTCCCTCCTCAAGGGCTGAGACAGCAGCAGGAGCCATTGGCAGCCACGGCTGGGAATGAATGGATACACAGAACAGTAGCTCGGGAGCGAGTCTGCTTGGGTACCCCCATAGCAAGCTGTTTGCTCTGGCGGCACTTGGCTGGAGGGACGGGCCAAGAGCAGCGGCAGAGGACCTGAGAAGAGGAGGATCGAGGCTGCTCTGTGAAAAACCACAGTAAGTAAAACAACATGTTTATTATTTTAAAACAAAAAAAACCTCTGCCTTTTACAGTAACTAATTGAAGCTCATTTCCAGCTCCCGTTATCAGCTACAGCAAACCGTTTTTGTTTTGGGATAAAGGTTTTACATAAATAAAACTGATCATTTTTATCACCCCTGCCAGTGGTAAATGGGTGGTCTCATCCATGTAAGCTGATACATTGTGCTGGAGAGTTTGAACTTTAACACAAAATTGCAGATCAAATCACCACAAGAAAATAAGGGCCTAAAAGAGAAAGTGAATACAACCATCACATATAAGGATTGGTAAGCTGCAATATAATGTTTGCTTATAGCTTTAATACTGCTTTAACCACAAGCCTACAGGGCACTTATACCCCCTTCCTGCCCAGGCCAATTTCCAGCTGTCACGCTTTGAATGACAATTGCGTGGTCATGCAACACTGTACCAATATGAACTTTTAATCATTTTTTTGTGACAGAGCTTTATTTTGGTGGTATTTAATCACCTCTGGGTTTTTTATTTTTTCTTAAACCAAAAACCACTGAAAATTTTTGAAAAAAAAATGTTTTTTCTTAGTTTTTGTTATAAAATTTTGTAAAGTGATTTTTCTCCTTCACTGATGTGCGCTGATAGGTGGCACTGATGGGCACTGATGAGGAGGCACTGGTAGGTGGCACTAATGGGCATTGACAGGCATGACTGATGGGCACTGTTAGGCGGCACTGACTGGCATTGATGGGTGACACTGAAAGGCAGCTCAGATGGGCACTCTATGGCATTGATGTGCACTGGTAGGCACTGATAAGTGGCACTGATGGGCACTGGCACGAGGCACTGATGGACACTGACAGGTGGCACTGCTGGAGCAACACTGATCATCAAGGCACACTGATCATCAGTGCCCTGATGATCAGTGTACATGTCCCCTCGCGGAAAGCCGATTACCGGCTCTCCTCTCCTCTCAAGTTGTCAGCGCGACAGCTCGAGAGGAGAGAAATGCCGATAACCGGCATTTCCCTATTTACATGTGATCAGCTGTGATTGGACACAGCTGATCACATGACCGAGCCGACATCTTCGACTCTTTGCGTGATCGGTGATCCGCTGTGTCCGAGGGACACAGCGCATCGCCGATTGCCGCACTGCACGCTCCCTGAGCCGCACATGCGCAGTGAGACTGGGAGGACATCATATGACGTCCTCCCAGAACGAGAGAACCACCTTGCGCCCGTCATATTACTATATGGCGGGCGGGAGGTGGTTAAGGACAGGTACTCTAATTCCTACAAAGTCTGTCATTAAATGTTGAAGGCTTTAATCTATTTCTGTGAGTATCTTTCGTGACCAGGAACTTGTCCACATGACAGATTTTCTCCTTCTCAATGGTGGAGAAGGATCTGGGAGTTCTGGTAGATCACAAGCTTAATAATGGCATGCAATGCCAAGCTGCGGCTTCTAAAGCGTGCAGTACCCTCTCTTGTATTAAAAGAGGTATAGACTCCAGAAAGAGAGAGATCATATTATATTACCTCTGTACAAATCATTAGTAATACCTCATCTGGAATATGCAGTTAAGTTTTGGGCACCAATAAACAAAAAGAACATTGGGGAACTAGAGAAAGTACAGAGAAGGGCAGCCAAACGGATATGAGGCATGGAGGAGCTCAGCTATGAGGAAAGATTAGAGGAACTGGATTTATTCTCTTGAGAAGAGGAGATTAAGGGGGGATATGATCAACATGTATAAATACATAAGGGGTTCATATAGTGAACACGGTGTAGAGCTATTCACCCTGAGGTCATCACAGAGGACAAGGGGGCACTCTTTACCTCTCTAGGAAAAGAAATTTAATCTCCAAACACAGAAAGGTTTCTTCACAGTGAGAGCTGTGAAAATGTTGAATAGACTCCCTTAAGAGTTGGTTCTGGCCAGCTCAGTGGATTGCTTTAAAAAAGGCCTGGATTCTTTCTTAGATACAGAATATAACTGGATACTAACATTTATAGGTAAAGTTGATCCAGGGAATATCAGATTGCCTCTTGGGGGATCAGGAAGGAATTGCTTTCCCTGCAGGAGCAAATTGGATCATGCTTTGCTGGTTTTTTTTTTTTGCCTTCCTCTGGATCAACTGTGGGTATAGGATTATAACTTTCATTTATTTTTTTTAAGGGTTGAACTGGATTGACATTTGTCTTTTTTCAGCCAGACTAACTATGTAACTATTCATCTGGTAGTTGGCACTGTCAAAGGTCAGTCCTGCTCTTTACATTTTGATTGAGAATGTCGGTGTTTCGCTCATTCTGATTAAGACTTTTGTACAGGAGGTCTCTCATATTGCTTCCCCTGTCCATTCCCCAATGATGTAGTGCGATCTGAATCTAGTTCTCTCTGCACTTCAGAAGCCGTTGTGTGATCTCTTTATAAGATTCCTTTGTATTCACCCAAAAAGTGTCCTGTCTTGTTGCCATTGTCTCTGCAAGGTAAGTGTCTGAACTGTTGACCTTATCTCGCAAAGAACACTTTCTATCCTTGTATAATGACAAGGTGGTATTGAGACCCAGGTTTTTCCTTCTAGCTTAAATCAGTTTCTGTCTTTTTAACCTCCTCCAGGAAATTCTCCCATCCAAGGCTTTGGTTCATCAAAAAGAAAATTCACTCCATTGTCTGGATTTGGTTCGGGCTGTGCTGGTCGGTCTCTTGACCACTGCTTCTTTCAGAAGGGCTCCTTTTTTGCCGTTCTGGATGATCCCTCAAAGGGCATCTTCGCTTCTTGTTCCTCCATTACTAGGTAGATCAGAAAACCATCAGTCCAAGTTTTTTTTTTTAGTCTTCAGGTTTGCGTTCCTCTTTCCTGTTGGGCTCCATTCACAAATGATCGTTTTGTAGCTTGAAGCTCAACGTTTTTAAACTTAACAAACAAAATTGCATATATTTAAAGTACCTGAAGCTTGTTGCCTTATGTGCCAAAAAATGCATGAGCTCTTCTGGGCAGAATTGGGCTTTTTTTTTTTTTTTTTTTTTTAGCCCAATAAACTTGAACAAGAATGCCTTTTTAGGCGTTTCTGCACTTTTTTAAAAATAATTTTCTTAGACTGTGCAAATGGGTCTTTTCTCCCTAGTGCTCTCCTTTTTAGGTAAACCATAAACCTCAGAAGCTAAAATACACATTATACAGATATAATGCTTGTATATACGTTCAAAAATGCTCAAACGGCCTGAAAACCACTCTGTTTAGGTGTGAGCCTCAGGGCTCACTCTTCTATTAGTGTGAGCATGTGAAATGATGCGTTCCCAATTAAAATGTTGCTGTTTCCAGGGTTTGTGAGGCTTGTATTAACAGTACTGGTACACATGGAATCAAAAGCTGGTTGCAGTAAAATTGTGTTTGAAATAAAAGTATATAGCCCACCTGATAACAGATCATGAAAGCATTTCATTCCCAAAAAAGCCTTCTGAAGTATAAATGTGGAAGTTGTAACTTTTGAGTTGACCAAACAAGGGTTATACTTTAAAAATGGAAGTATGGCCAATGCTTTTTTGACCATATATCTCTTGTTCGTGGACTTATTTTGGCACTTCTGTGCCCGGAATCAGCTGACAGCGAGCTATAGCCCACTGTCAGCTGACGTCACACAGAGCTGCTGCAGGTTCTGGAAGTTTCCTGACCATATAAATGGTGTCCACCCAGCTGCCTAATTGACAGCTGCTCTTTCTCTCACCGCACAGCTGAGAGCTGAAGCGAACTGTGACCACGCTCCAGTGAGTGCTGGAGGGCCAGAACAGAGAGCAGTGACTGAGAGTTGAATGATCAGTGGTCATGTGATTGCTGTGCTTTAAGTTGCAATTTGCTATTGTGAATAGAACATTGTTTTATTGGAAACCTCAGCAGTAGAGTTACATTTTAAGTAAATTAACAACATGATTTAGTGTTGCGGTTTTAAGGAAAAAAATTCTTAATTGTAAAGAATTCCTAAAGTGCTCTGGGTTAACTAAAAAGCTTAAAGCATGATTAAGTTCTTGCATATATAGCAATAAATATGGGCTGCTTTTTACACTGAGTGCTACAGCAAGGGTTAAAATACATTTGTCCTGACAGCACGCAGCTTTTTGGGGGTGTTGTGTTGGATGTCTGGTTATCTGGGTTTCTGCTATGTGTAAGTGTGATCTGACTGTTACTAGCACAGGTCATTTTAACCCGTGTTGCCACATGTAATGAAAGTAGTAAAAAAGAATGCACAAATATTGCTGTGTTTGTAGCCTTGCTGCATTCTAGTAATTAATGGGGATGGAGCTGACCTAAGCGGTTTGCTTGCAGCTCCATTTTTCTGATCAATACTCTGCTAAAAGCTGAAAAAGTGAAAAGGGGACTAGAGCTCCATCTTTTGGCTAGATAGATAATCATCCTGCTACTGGAGATGTGCAAAAGCAGAGGACACTTGATGTAGACCTAAAGGATAAATTCACCTTTTGGGGCAGAAGTTTACTTTTCATAATAAATAAGCATTTTCCAATGCCATTTCTGGCCCAGCCATCCCAATGTGCTTTTTCTCTTGCTCACCTAATCCACAGGACATTTATTTTTTGTCTGTTTATGCAAGATATTGAACAGATTTTCAGATTGCATCATTTCCCGCTAATGGTCTCTCAGCATTCACTTCCTGTAGGCCACTTCCCAGAAGCCTTCACTTTCTTTTTGCATGACAGAAGAGGGTGTGATAGTGTACTCACCACTCTGGACCACACCTCCCTCATTACAATACTACCTTCCTCCCATCGGCTATGTAGTACAAGGGCCTGTCTTGATTTGATACAAATTGAATGAATTGTTCAGGTGTGTCCTCCTATTCCATAGTTTTGGTAAATCTAAAGGAAATTGTACAGAGATTGTCAAAGCAAATTGCAGAGTGTATGGCCATCTTTATACAAGTACATAGGAGGGAGAAGACAGAGTCGCTCAGTTGTCAGGCCCCATTCATATCCCCTCATAGTGCAGATGCACATTCCTGCATGTGTCTTTTTTTTTTTTTGTTGTTTTTTTTTTTTGTTTTTTTTGTTTTGGGTGTTTTAGAGCATTTTCACTCGTCACGTATAGGGCAGCCAATTCTCTTGAATGAGCTGCTATACACGCAACAGTCACCCCAGAAAAGCTTCAGAACTTTTTGAAGCAGAGCACGGTGCGTTACCACAGTATTTGTGTTGTCATAACGTGCGGCAAATGAAGCAAACGCGATGCACATTTGCATTGTGTTTCTGAAATGCATGGCAAAGCATGCATTTTCTGTGCAGATTGCCATGCATTCGGAAACACACAGATGTGAATTGGAGCCTCTTCGTTATGTGTAGACTCACCAATTTCACTTTCCGGCCCCATTCACACCTAGAGTAGCAGGAGCGCATGTTTTTTTGGCTCGTTTTCCTAGTGACACACTAGGAAAATCAACACAGCCTGTTGATTGCAATGGGCCACCCTACATGTGGCAAAGAAGCTCATGGGACATTTTGGCATGATGCGTGTTGCACATTCTTTACTGTGCGTTTTGCTGCATTTGTCACCAGTTTTTCTTGTGGCAAAATACGTGCTTGTTTCTGTGTTTGGTGTGCTGGTAACAATTACACTGAAAGCGCAACTTGGTAATTTTAGGTGTATAAAGGTGGCCATACACTATACAATCTATGTACGATCTCTTTTAGATTTACCAAAGCTATATAATAGGAGGACACTGCATCTATCCAATCACTCGGCCTGAGCCCATCTGTAGAGACGCTGGGGTAGCCAGGCAAATGCACATGGGAAGAGTTCCCGGGGATGCTGTGAAAATAGTTGATGGGTGTGTATTAATGAGGTCAGTGCAGGAT